CAGGTAGCAGGGTTGGCAAAAATAAAATATTGGTTTTTAAATTTAGTATCTAGGGATTAACTTGACCAGGAGCACACATGATCTCTAGGCAGAAAAAGAAAATTCTAATAAAAAACGCTGGTGGTCTGAATAAATGGAAAGACATTCAAAGCCCTTGGAAGACATGACTTAATATTACAAAGGTGTCAACATCCTCCAAATAATCTGTATGATTCAATGCAATCCCAAAGAAAAATTTTATTTTGGGAGAAACTTCTTAAACTTATTCTAGAATTTATACAGAAGGATAAAGACTCATAAATACCCAAGTCAAACCTCAAAAAGGAGATTGAATAGAGGAGACTTAAATAAGTGGATATTAAGAGTTGCCTCAAAGTTATTATTAAAAACAGAGAGGTATTGGGACAAAAACAGCTACACAAAAAACCTGAATAAAGGGCTCAGAGACAGAACTAAAATATGCAAACCTAAAATGCAACAACACCGGCACTACAAATCAGTCAAGGGAAGAATAGGTAGCTTAGTAGATATTAACAGGAAAACTAACACTTCCCGTGGATAAAAATAAGAATGGATCTTCATGGAACATCTCATACCATGGTGGAAATCAGCTGGATTCGAAACTTAAATGTGAAAGACACACTCATAAAGCCAATAAAAGAAAACATAGGTACACATCTTTGTGACATGGGTCATAAAGGCCTTCTCCAAAATACAACTTGAAAATCATAAACCAGAAAGCAAAAAAGAGATGATTTGAATATATAAAAAGGCTTTAAAGACTTTATAGTCAAAGAAGGATACCACGAATTAACAGACAGATGATAAGATGAGAATATATTTAAACTGGCTAAATCCAACAAGGGATTAGTATCTAGAATCAGTAGGAACTTTTTACATATCAAAAAGAAAAGATGGTAACTGAAATAGAAAAATGGGCAAAGGACATGAATAGGCAATTAACAGAAGAGAAAACCCAGTAAACTAACAGGCATATGAATAGGTGCTCAAATTCATTACCAGAGAAATGCAAATTAAAACAACAATGAGCTATCATTTTACACCTATCAGACTGGCAAAAAATTAGAGAGCTGAATACTGGTGATAGTTGGCAGGAATGGAGAAATTCGCACATAGGGTTGCTGGGAATGCAGATCAACCACTCTGGAGAACAATGCAGGAGAGTGCTTAAATGAAGTCTATGCATAGCCTTTGGCCAGCAATGCTTTGGATGGGTGTATCCCAGAGGAATTCTCACACAGGAAGACATGTACAAAGATGTACACTGTGGTGGTGTGAGTGGTGATGAGGAGTTGGAGGCATGAGGAGATGGAGTACATCTCTACAAAAACAGATACAAAGTGCTGTGTACCACAAATTATGCAGTAATCAGAAGCCACAGCATAAAAGGACACAGAGGAATACGAAAGGCTCCTAACACAATGATGAGGGCACAAAATAAGAAATAAAACAAGACACAGAACATTTATTAACTCACACCATTTATTAAGAACACAGGAAGATAAAAGACACACATTTTAGAAAAAAGAACTAAAAGGGAATGAATAAATAAAACGAAACAAAAGGAAAGAATGAATGAATCAAGAAACCTGTGCTGATACTGTGCCATGAACAGGGGAGTGTGATGAATTCAACTCTCTAAACCTGAGATCCAAACAGAGAATAGAAAAGAGGAGAAGAAAAGGCTCTGCAAAGAAACGTACATATATTTATCAGCTGCCATCCTATCCCTGGCAACTGGGTCATTTGGAAAATACCAGCAGCTGACAGACATTACTTGTGGCCCTGTCTTATACTCCACAGGCACCGTATGCCCTGAGAGAAACTTCAAGATGAAAGCAACGAATTCAGAAATTCCCTTTTGCTATCTGCTCCTTCAAAACATGCTGGCTCTGTGATAAAATGTTTGCATTGAAATTCCCACCAAAACGTTTCCTAGAAAGGAAAATGCTGGACATTTGGAATTTGGACTCTAGACATTTGGAATCTGGTTAAGAAGAGCAATGCCTCACTCTTAAATTCATATCAGATTGGCTTTATATCTTTAAAAGAGTTTAGATTGTGACACAAACAGAAGGAGTGTGGCAGAACAATCAAGACCCAGAGCATTAGCGCCACCTGTGGTAGATGAGCCCTATGGGTTTGGATTACACTGCAAATTACTGCAATCAAGAGATACAGTACAACAACCCCAGCAAGGAGGGGAAGCTAAGAACCTGCACCATGTGGGAAAGGGTCCAAAAAAGGGTGAGGAAGCACTAAACCAGACCATTACACTGGTTTGCCAGCTTGGAAATCAATCAATACCCTAAAAAAAAAAATTCCTATTTAAATGACTCCTGAAAAAGTGGCATATATATATATATAATATATAAATATATATATATATATATATATTTTTTTTTAAGATGGAGTCTTACTCTATTGCCCACCCTGGAGTGCAGTAGCACAATCTTGGCTCACTGAAACCTCTGCCTCTCAGGTTCAAGCGATTCTCCTGCCTCAGCTTCCTGAGTAGCTGGGATTACAAGCGTGTGCCACCATGCCCGGCTAATTTTTATATTTTTAGCAGAGACGGGGGTTTCACCATGTTGGCCAGGCTGGTCTCGAACTCCTGACCTTGTGATCCACCTGCCTCAGCCTCCCAAAGTGCTGGGATCACAGGCGTGAGCCACTGCACTGGCAAAAGTGACCAATTTTTTTAATCCATCTTTTTATCTCCTATGTGCTAGATGAAAGGGTAATGATTGAAGAATCATTAGATACCCAAGACAAGCAACTCTCTTTGCTCTGTGAATAACAAGATGCCAAAAGCAAAGTGTCACAACTGCTTATATTTTCAAAAAAAAAAAAAATGTTTGTCTTATTCTTTTCTCGAGGGAGGTCAAGTAATGCATGTTATTAGGTATGTTGTTCTATAGCCTAGTTTTTTAAAATATCAGTCATTAACATACTATCAACACAATTTCTGCAAATATATCCAGCCCTCTCTGGTTCTTTGTAAAGGCTGTGTATCACTCCTTAATTTATGTAGCCAGCTCCCTATTTGGTATTCAGATTGTTTCTCATTCTTTGCTATTTTCACCAATGCCCCAACAAACTTATTTGTACAAATAAGTACAAACTATCTTTGCACTCTAATGATTTCTTTAGGACAAGCCATTGGGGGGTTAGAGGGTGGTCACTTTTTTCAGGTTTCCAAAGCATATTCTCAAAATGCCTTAAGAAATATCAGAACCAGTTGGGATGCCCACTAGTAGAACCATGGTTGTCTTTCAAATCTATTGGGAGTTATCTCAAATAGAGAGATGTAAGTTCATAAGGTCACAAGTTACAAGTAAAATTCTGGCCAGTGTGGGTGGAGGTCTCCATTCATATGCCTCCCCTCCCCCACCACTTTTGGGTACTTTATTACAGTGTGTCCCAGGAGGGGCCAGGTGTGAGTATCTGTTAGTGTAGCCTGCTTGGCATCCATCCCCTCTGGTCCTGATGGCTTCCCTGATTTCCCTCTGGGAAACTACCCTACTCCCATTTTTTGCAGCAGTCTTGAAACTTTCAATCAAAGTGTACAGTTTTCCCTGGGTGGACCCAAGTTAGACCAACTTGATGCCTGGGAATTTCAATCTTCAGAAATGTGAGGCAAGGACTACAAACAGTTTAGAGCTTTATCGTATTATCCAGAAGACCCTTTCTCATTGGGTTCCTGGGTCTCCAGAACTCGTCTGTTCTCAAGCCAACCTTACTACAAGCTACCATACAGCCTTACATATTCCTTCATTATTGTTACTGTTGTTTTTGCCTCAGTTAGCCAGAGTTGACTTCAGGTGCTCTAAAACAATCTTACCTAATTGGGAGTGGGTAGGGTGGAATTACGTCTTTGTTTCCTTGCATATTTACTTGAAATTTTTCCCTTGTTCATTTTTTTTTTTTTTTTGGAGGTGAGGGGGAACATTTTTTTTCCTCTCAAAAAAGGCCTCTCAACTACCCACAGCAGGAGTTCCAAATTAATTAATATTTTATATAAAACTCCTGCATAAAACTTATATTTTGAAGAGAAAGAAAGGGGGAAAAATTCTCTGTCCTATAAAGACTTTCACAAAAAAAAACAAAAAACAAAAAACACTTCATCCTTTGGTCCACGTGGAGAGGCACTGTTCTACTGATTTTCCTAACACAGCTGGAATTCACAGTGGGGCTACCTTTAAATTTCTTCTCAAGTGGATTTTACAAAGCAAGGTGACAGGATTTCCTTTGTACTCTTGCAGCAACCTGGAAGGATTTTGTTTTTTCTCCCATACGCCAAGGAGATAATCAGCCCGAACATTGTACCAGTAGCAGGTTCATTTTAATCCCGTTGCCTTTACAAGGTTACAGGTACCCTTGGAAATCATGATTAACTAGAGTGCTTACAGGCAGCAGTGGGGCAAATGCACTATGGTCTACAGAGGCTGCCCAGGGACATTTCCAGCAGAGAAGAATGTTACCATAGAATTCATCTCCATTCTTTCCTCCCCCAACAGACCACGAAGAAAACAGAGTTACTAAGAAATCACCTAACATAGTTATTGCCTATCCAGTCCTCTGAGCGAGACCATGCTGGAGGCAAAAGCAACTCTGGCTTTCCCACAGGATAAGGCTCTCGGGGAGTTGAGTATTACTGTATTAAGTAACTTTTAAGTGGTGATGAGCTATAGTCTTAAGACCTACGATTAAAGGAGATAATGTACACGAGAATGCTTTGTAAAGTGTGACACATTATTTCAATGCAAGGCGTCACTACAGCCTTGCCAGCCAGGCTTACTTACCGTCCCTCTGGAGTCACCGGTGGAAAGTTGGGGTGGAGGCATGTCCCACTGTACTCGGGAACTGGGGCCAACCCAACATGCCCACAGCACCGCCTGGTGGTTCACGCCTGGAGTAGCAACTTCTCAAAGCCCACTCCCAACCCTGGCTGTAGGTTACCCAAGCATCATACTTACTCCCTTCACTCTGGCTGTCTTTGTTCGAGTTGTAGACCTGGAAAATAAAAATGAAAATTCACTTGTGTGCATTTTATACTACCCTATAGGTTCACTGTAGAAAACCATTATCTTCCTCATTTTCCCTAGTTTGCACTATGAAGTAGAAAGTAATTTCTGGCTCCCAAATATGAACCCATTCAATAATTATCTACTTCTCAGTATTTACTTTAGCTGTTCTTAAGTGTGTGTGCATCAGAATCATCTGTGCAACTTTATTGTGTAAAAAAAAATTCCCTCTTTTCAAGAAAGCAAGTAGATGTATATGCGTACATAAATAGAAAAGAGAAAAAAATTAAAATTAGTTACAAATCGTTAAGCATGAACTGCGCACCAGGCAATGTGCTAAGCATTTCACATGAGCGATCTGAAATAATCAACATGACAATTCTGTTGGGCAGGAGCTGTTATTATCACTGTTTCACAGATGGAGAATATGAAGCCTAGAAGGGTTAACTAATGTCTCACAGCTAGTTAGTGGCAAAGTCAGGACCTTTACATCAGAAACGTTGACTGTTAATACTGGGGAGTGGGAACTGTTACTTTTTACTCTGCGTACTTCTAGAAATTTGAATGTTATAAGGAGAATATATATTTTCCATAGAAACCCCTTAAATAATATAAATCATAAAAAGGGAAAGTACTCCAATAAAGAAAATGAAAATGCCCAATATAAAAGAGACAAGGACATATTGCAAGGGTCAGCAAGTTTTTCTTGCAAAGGGTCAGATGTTAACATTTTACGCTTTGTGAGCCAAGAAGCAAAATCAATGACATTATGTAGCTACTTCTACAAGATAGAAAGCACATTTTCATAAATTTTTTGACAAAATTGAGAATCTAATAATATTTGAGTATGATTTTGTGAAATGTAAGCCTACTAATCAGACGAATTTTTTTTTTTTTAAGAGAGGCTGATATTTAGCTTAATTGGTGCTCAAAGTTAGTATTCCTTATAAAGTCGATTGTAGATGTTTGTTTGTAAACATGATGCTTGGCTGATGGGCTCTACAAAAGAAGGTGGTGGGCTGGATTTGGTCTGTGGATCACAGTTTGCCCGTCCCTGATATGCTGTCATAATTAAATAAGATGAAACCTCTACTTTAGAAAAGAAAAAAATTGGCTGGGAGCAGTGGCTCACACCTGTAATCCCAGCACTTTGGGAGGCCGAGGGGGGTGGATCATGAGATCAGGAGATCAAGACTGTCTTGGCTAACATGGTTAAACTCCGTCTCTACCAAAAAACACAAAACATTAGCCAGTCGTGGTGGCAGGCGCCTGTAGTCCCAGCAACTCGCGAGGCTGAGGCAGAACGGCATGAACAAGGAAGTGGAGCTTGTAGTGAACCAAGATCATGCCACTGCACTCCAGCCTGGGCAACAGAGCAAGACTCTATCTAAAATAAATAAATTAATTAAGTAAAGAAAAAAAATCATAGAACCCAAGCCTTTCTTTGGTTATTAAGGTTCTGTAGGTATAGAAAGGTATAAGGTGAACCTGATCATAATATATATAATTATATATTATATTATATATATTTATTATATATAATATATATTTTATATATAATAATATATAATTATATATATATATATCTCCCTCCAGTGATTCTAATGGCCACTCTCTGTTGAGAACCACTTATTTAACCCCTAAAGAAACCAAGGCAACCACCTCTGAAAAGAACCATTAAATCCAAAAAGGGATTTTTTACTTAAGAAATATGACGGAGAATGGCTGGTCAAGAGGTCCCACTTGGCCCTTTAGCTGCTTTGTGTCATTGGGTCTCTTAGCCTCTCTGGGCATCTATTGCCTCATCTGCAATGAGGGAGTCACTCAAGAAGGTCTTTGAATTATCAAGCTCTAAATATAACAAATCACCCTATTTTATTATTAGTTTTCTAAAGAAAACTAAAGCTACCAGGCCACTTATTAAAGGTCAGAAAGATTAGGAAAAAGGGAAGAGGTTTCTGTACTTAAAGAAGATTGTCTAATGAATAAAAAGGCATCAATGCACATACCTAAAAGTTCGAGAGATAAGGAATCAAAGGATTTTGATCCTGGCCTGGCCTTCCCCATCGGTAACTTCATCTTGCTGAACTTTAATTTCTTCATCTATAAAATGTGGGCGATGATAGGTTTTCCTGACTAACTCAGCCAGAGATGCTGTGAACATCAAATGAGATTGTGCCAAAGAAATACAATGAAACAGCACAACACAATGCAAGCGCTCTGGACTCTACTACTGAGAAAAGAAATGCTTAACATTCAAGGAATCTAAGGGGAGGGCAAAAGTCACCACCAAGTCTAGGTGGAGGCTGACATAGAGGTTGTGTAATTTCTACTTAAAAGAGGAAACACAGTGGCCCATTCTCCCTCAGCAGCATCTTTATCATCTATATAAATGAACTTGAGCTAGACCATGGTTTCCAAATCGAGCCCCACAGCACCTGCACAAACAAGGACTGCCAAAGGGGTTGGAGAGAGGCTAAAAGCAAATGACCCCCACCTTGGCTTTTATCCATTTTACTCATGTGGCTGTTGAACAAGGGCATAGCAGCTTTGAAAAGTCTGAAGACCTCCTAAATAGTAATTTCCCATGTTGCTCGTGATTCATTTACTTATCCATGCATTTAACAAATATTTACTGTGTGCTTATAATGGTCAGGCAATGTTCCAGGTACTGGGGATACAGATGAACTAGACATCTGTAATCTCTGCTCTCATAAAACTTTCCAATTAGTGAAGAAAACAGAAATAAGCAGATGCACGAATATGATTACTTCAAATATTGATAAGTACATTGGAGAAAGTTAAAATAAAAAAAAGCGGGGGTGTATTGTGGACTTTAGATGAGGAAATGCTCCTCGGAAGAGGTGACCTTTGCGCCAGGCCTGACCGATGAGGGGCACCTCCTTGGGAAGATGTGGGGCCAGTGCCAACAAAAAGTACAGGCCCTTTGAAGGTGAAAAGTCATTGCATTTGAAGGAAGAAGGCCAGTGTGGTTGGCAATCAGTGCAATGTAGAGAGGGGTAGGAGATGAGGATAGGGCAGAGGGGCAGCGATCCGATCCTGCGTAGCCTTGTGACCTGTGAGTGAAACGGGTCACAGTGTAATAGCTAGGACCAGAGATCCATGGTGACTGGCATTCACTAACCTTGGAAAGTTGGGCAAGGGAAGTACAGCAGAGAAGACCACACTTTGGCAAGTATTTTTTTTCAGCCATCCTTGATCCCTGCATTTCTCCCAGTAAATTCGAACATTCTATCCAAGGGAAACTTGCTTCTATTTATAGCTGGCAAAATCCAGAAGGAATAGTAAAATGCAGGACTTCCAGCCCTCCTTAATTAGGATGAATTTGTGCCAAAATACTGTCTTTCAATGTTTCCTGGGTCTCAGGAGATCCCTTCCTGGAACACCCAAGCATTCCCTGAATTGGAGAAGTATAATCAATGAGCCAAAGGCACCAGAAACATGTACCCACCTGCTCCTCTGAGGCCAGGCTGTTAATCTCTGTCTGGTTTGGGTTAATGAGCCAAGGAGAATGAGTTTTGAAATGAAGCTAACAAATCCTGCTTACCAGGACTTTGTGACTACAGGGCCCAACAAAGAAGGCCCAGGGTGGGGAAGCAACCAGATGCTGGCTCAGTCACAGCACTAAGCAGGAATGGTTTTGTTTACCTAGCACTTACCAAGTGCCACACATGGCAATGTCTAATCCTTGCAACCACCATATGGATGAGGTCTAGAATTATTCACATTTTAGAGATATGGAACCTGAGACCCAGAGTGGTTACACAGTTTGTGTAAGGACACAGAGCTGGTCAGTGATGTGCTATTCTATCTTGCCTCTAAAGGATGTTCCAATAATTCCCTTTTACCTTTCTAGGCAGTGGCAAATGTATATCACTACCAAGTCCCTCCAGTGGTTGGTATTATGGCTTATAAATACCTTCTATACTGACAGAAGCTAAGAGCATCTAATTCATCTTTTAGAAATGGTCGGTCTGCTTTGCCCATGCCTATGTCCTGAATGGTACTACCTAGGTTTTCCTCTAGGATTTTTATGGTATTAGGTCTAACATTTAAGTCTCTAATCCATCTTGAATTAATTTTCGTATAAGGAGTAAGGAAGGGATCCAGTTTCAGCTTTCTACTTATGGCTAGCCAATTTTCCCAGCACCATTTATTAAATAGGGAATCCTTTCCCCATTTCTTGTTTCTCTCAGGTTTGTCAAAGATCAGATGGCTGTAGATGTGTGGTATTATTTCTGAGGACTCTGTTCTGTTCCATTGGTCTATATCTCTGTTTTGGTACCAGTACCATGCTGTTTTGGTTACTGTAGCCTTGTAGTATAGTTTGAAGTCAGGTAGCGTGATGCCTCCAGCTTTGTTCTTTTGACTTAGGATTGTCTTGGAGATGCGGGCTCTTTTTTGGTTCCATATGAACTTTAAAGCAGTTTTTTCCAATTCTGTGAAGAAGCTCATTGGTAGCTTGATGGGGATGGCATTGAATCTATAAATTACCTTGGGCAGTATGGCCATTTTCACGATATTGATTCTTCCTATCCATGAGCATGGTATGTTCTTCCATTTGTTTGTGTCCTCTTTGATTTCACTGAGCAGTGGTTTGTAGTTCTCCTTGAAGAGGTCCTTTACATCCCTTGTAAGTTGGATTCCTAGGTATTTTATTCTCTTTGAAGCAATTGTGAATGGAAGTTCATTCCTGATTTGGCTCTCTGTTTGACTGTCACTGGTGTATAAGAATGCTTGTGATTTTTGCACATTAATTTTGTATCCTGAGACTTTGCTGAAGTTGCTTATCAGCTTAAGGAGATTTTGGGCTGAGACAATGGGGTTTTCTAAATATACAATCATGTCGTCTGCAAACAGGAATCAACCCAAATGTCCATCAGTGACAGACTGGATTAAGAAAATGTGGCACATATACACCATGGAATACTATGCAGCCATAAAAAAGGATGAGTTTGTGTCCTTTGT